TCATGTTTTTGGACTCTTTCTTCTTAGTGCTGTGGTTGCTTCTTTTTTGCTTCCTTATATTCCAAATCACTCATTTGATTCTCAGCTTTATCCACTCTACCATTGATTCCATGTAAATTGTTCTTTATTTCTATTAGGATAGTCTTCATTTCTGGCTGGATTTTTTTTTATGCTGTTGAGGTCTTTCCTAAATTCCTTGAGTATCCTTATAACCAGTGTTTTGAACTCTGCATCTCATACATTGCTTGTGTACATTTTTTAAGTTATTCTTCTAGAGTTTTCTTTTGTTCTTCCATTGTAGCCATGTTTCTTTGTCTCCTCATTTAGACATTCTCTTTGTGTTTGTTTCTATATATCAGGTAGAGCTACAATGGCTGTCAGGCTTAGTAGAGTGGTGTAATGTAGTATGTGTCCTGTTTAGCCCAGTGGCACAGCCTCCTTTATTATTCAAGCTTGGTACTCAAGGTGCACCCACTGTGGGGGTGAAGGGAGTTTGAAAGGGTTATGGTGTGTAAATGGTGAAGAAGGGATATTTGGGGTCAGGTGGTGAATACACAATTAAGTGTACAGATGACATGACGTTGATTTGTTCACCTGAAACCTCTATAATTTTGTTAACCAGTGTGATTCCAATAAATTCAGTAAAGGAAAAAAACTCTATATAAGAGAAATACCCTCTAACTTAGTTTCTTAGTGATCACACATAATACTTTTTATGAAGTGATGCCTTTCCTGAGACTGTAGAGCTTATAGTAACAGTAGAATCATGATTTTAGAACATTGTTCTCACACAATCAAATCTTAAGGAACCACTGCCCTGTAAAGTTGTTCTGAGGGCTTTCTGAGTGTCTTAGAACTTTGTTTACACACCAAGACAATGTTGAGAGAGATGTTTTCAGCAGTGAGAGTTCACAGACTGACCAGACCTGGGCAGTCAGTAACAACAAAAAGAGCCAGGTACACTCCAGAGGTTCAACCTTGGATTATAGCAGCTTTTGTGATACCCAAAGCCATAATAGTCAGGGTAAAAAGGTAGGAGGATGCTTTTCATGATGTGTGCCCCATTGCCCTCTAATTGGAGTATGTTCACAGACCAGAGCTTGTGAAAGACAGCCTGAGGGTTGTTGAAGTCAGCATCACTGCAGTCTGAAAATGATACCCACCCAGTCTGTCACAGGGATAAGGATGTCCCTTATCCCATGCAAGCCTTGGGGACTTTTCGTAAATCAATGTGGTATGTTTGCTGACATGGTTAAAACAATGTAGTGTATTGTTTCTTAAATTCTTCTTCTCTAGAACCCCTGCCTTTCCCAAAGATCCCCACAACACAATCAGCATTCCAACTTAAAGTGACTTTTCCTCATTGTAAACATTTCACATGTCAAAAAAAAAAAAAAAGAAACAACCAAGAGGAGGGGAAACCAAGAGCTGTGTGGTGGCTCACCTCTGAGGCAGAAGAGGCTGATGGGAACTTCTGGAAAAGAGGGTCCTGGAGGGGCCCAGAAATGACTCTGGTCAGGCAGAACAAAGTGTCCCAGTCACTGAACCAAGCCATGGAACACAAAGGTCACTGAGGAATTCTGATGGGCTGGGATCTGTGGTGAAGCTAAATGACCAGGCAAGCACTAAAAGTGAGGTCAGTGGAAAACCTACTGAAATGCTGCATGATATAGGTGCTAATTTTCTAGTTCTGATGGGAAGAAATAGGACCTGGACCTCCATGACAAAGATTTATAACTTCTTATCCCAGACTAAGCCAGCTCATAACCCTGGAAGCCCATGAATGAAAAGGGAGGCTGGGTCCATTTGGTAAGGACCCTGTCACCATGGATGTAGACAGAGAATCTTCCCTCACAGCAGAGAGATTAGGGGCCATTGATCTGGGGACACTGGACACAGGTCAAAGGAAAATAAAGGCTCTGTCCTTTCGGGTTAGTTTTTTTTTGGGAGGGGGGTGGTGGCTATGAATGGGTGCTGATGCCCAGTGTGAACCAGGTCAGGTCACAGATGGACTTTTGGTGAAGTCACTTTCCCTGAGGGCCCAGTGGGACCCCCAGGCTCATCTTCTTGTTTATGTCATCCCAGAACATATTATAATTATTGGTAACTGGAAAAACCCAAACACATCACCTGACCTATGGAGTGAGAGCTATTATGGTAGGAAAAGCCAAATGATGCTTCTGATTCTACCACCATCCTACTAAGACAGTAAATCAGAAGCAATAATGAACGTCTGATGGAATTTCTGAGAATAGCACCCACACCCTCCATGAGAGGTGGATGGGTGTAGATTATTACTCCACCTCCATTTGTTGCTCCTCTTTGGTCACAGCAGAGGGTCTGGGCAATGACAACAAGTTACAACAAATGTGAAGTGGTGATGACAAAGAAGCTGTAGTTTAGCATGTGGCTTCTCACTGACCCTGGATGTGCAGCCACACATCAAACAATTCATTTTTTTGTTTTTAGGCAGAGATAATCATTCATGCTCACATTTCAGGGACAACAGTATACCTTAACTCTGGCCACTTTCCTTGGTCCTCTCATGTGCTGCCTCCTATCATATGCTCCTAAGAACGCCTGATCACCTGATTTTCTCCAGAGCATCACACTGGGCCACCTCATCAATGAATTTATGTGTTTTAATCAGACACAATGGGCAACATATAGCAAGCACCCTTGATGACTCAGAAATAAGGCGGTGCCAGAGGGTGGAAGAAAAGCTGTGCATCGTCCAGCACCCATTTCTATGCTATATATGCTGTAGATGTGGGCACATCGAGCTCTTCCTTCCAAACTAAGAGATGCTTTGCTACACCTCACTCAGCTGCTTTTAGAAAAGAGATACATCTCATAATTTTGGGGACATGTGTGGGATGTAGTATATTTTGGCGTGCTGCTCTTGCTCATTTGTGAAAGAACCTATAAGATGGTCTTTTTTTTCTAAATCCTAATCAGAATAGGGCTCTGATAAAAGTGGAGGCTGGAAATGCAAGTGTCCTGATTTGGTTCATAGCATACAACAGACCCAATGCCATTGTAAGTTTCTGTGACGTCAAAAATAATAGGGATAGTCACAGTATGAAACTTTAGGGGCTTGGAGCACAGGAATGTCTCTTCTGCAGGTAACTATCTTTCCCTTAGGGAAGTAGCTCTTAACTCATTACTGGATCCCAGTAGAGACTGGACTCCTGACCGCAGGACCTCAAGGGCATTGTGATTGAATTGCAAACACTGGGTGCTATCTGAGCCACCACAGCATAACACTACACATGCTCATCAGTGCCCATATCCATGAAGAAAGTGAGTATGGGATGCGGCTCAGAGAGGAATGGAGGACACATAGGAACACCCCAGCAGGTGGCTCAGACACCCATGGCACCTGTCCCTCCTGCCCCTTTCTCCACCCATGCCCATAGCCTCCTGGGGATCTCCAATGGCCTAATACTAGAGGGGAGAGAGTGCATACCAGGTTTATGTTAGTGTGGATGAGGAATCCCACCACACTTCTAGTCACTTGGAAGCCTCAACTGCCCCCTGGCCATTCTATGCTCCTCTTGCCACTGATAGGGCATAAGAAGAGGGTCGCTCTGCTGATTGACAGACAGCACTTGACTAGCAGAGGGAGGCTGGGTTGCTGGGTCAAGGAAATCTATGTTTGGGAGTCAGGAGAGTTGTTGGGAGAACATCTTCATATTTCTCTGGCCAGAGGCCCTGTTCAGGGGAAAACAACAGAAACCCAGTGGAGACAGGACCATCAAGCACGCACTTCCCATAAGAATGAAGATTTGCCTCAGAAAATTGTCCAGAGTCGGTGCTGGCTGGTGGGGGAGAGAATATGGAATGGGTGATGGAAGAAGGCATCTCTGATTACACCTCCAGGACATGTCCAGCTTTCCACCCCCACCTTCCTCTCATCATTGTAGGTAAAGAACTGGTCCTCAAATTGACATTAGCACACCATGTTATCACAATTAAGTAACGGAGAGGAATTGTTTATCTTCTGTGTTGAAGACTGATTTCCACCCAAACAAATGAAGGAGAGAATGTGAAAAGGAGAAGGGTGGATGGTGATGGACACTCCATTTCCTTTTCCAGACTCACTCTCTCCCCTCCTCTCTGCTGTTCTTTGCTCCTGGGGACAGATCTCTTGGGACTGTGTCAATGGGAAATCCTGCCTTCCAGGTGGATGCAGTCAATGGGAGCCCCAATAGCAGACCAGAGGGCAGACACTGAGTGAGGCTGGGCCACGCATTCTGCAGCTCCCTGCCTCTCTTGTTGCTGTACTCTGGTTGGATTTCTCAGCCTGAGGTTAGAGCTCCTGGCAGGCAGCCCTCTCTAATCTCCTCCCCCACCTTGGGAACCTAGTGACAGCAAGGACTTCTCTTCTGCCTTCCAGGCGTAGGACAGTAACAGACCCTGTGACATCAGCCTCAGGGAACTGGGCACACCCTCTTGGTTTTTCACTTCACACAAACCCATATGTCAAGTGATTCAGGTGGGATGAGTCTCCTGTTTATACAGGAAACCTGACTCCTAAGTAGAAATCTCACTGGTCAAAGTGCACCTTTACCTCCCAGGTCATGGTGATGCCCAAATAATTGTGGCTGCAGCACTGCAAAGGCTATATTACCATACCAGCTGGAAAAAAAGATGTGCACCAGACCAGTGAAGGATAGGTCTGACATGGTGAATCTCTCCCTGGATTCCTCTCCTCATCACCCCAGATCTCAGTGAGCCCTGCCCTTCCCTCCCATAGAGAAATCCCAGCACTGGGAGAAAAGATCATGCCTTTATTTACCAGACACATGTGGCCAGTGTTTGAGTGTCGAGCTCCCACAGGGCCAATTCAGCTGCTCCCAGGCCCTTCCGTATGTTGCTATCAGGCCACAAAATGTGTGGTTGTGTGTGTGAATGAGAGTTCATGAGGAAGATGGGAAAACAGCTCAGTGTTTTGTTATGAGATCAGAAGGAGGGTTTTGTTGAGGGGTTAGCAGGGACTAAGAAACATAGGGAAATAGAGTGAGCATGGAGGTCATCCCACAACAAAGGGCTAGGGACAGCCCCAGCCCCACCACCTGAGCCAGGTAGGGGATAGGAGCAGCCCCACTTTGGAGATCATTATTTTCATCCTCAGACAGTTCACCTGCAACAAATGGCCCAATCATGTTGATTGCAGCCCTGAATCCTAAGTGTAGACAACAGCCCACCTAGGGAGTGAAGAATGAGTCAGAGGGGTCTCAAAGAAGTACACACTTAAATTCCTAAGGCCCAAGAATCCCAGACCCTAGCACATCCCCCATTAGAACAGAAGATCAGGCTCCTAGGCATCACCACCTTCAGATCAAGAAATTTGGGTCCTCAGCACCTCTCACCCTGGAGCCCAAGAGCCAGTGTCTCAAATGCCCTCCCACTACTGCAGCAGTGAATCCAGGCCCCCAAACCCTTCATCCTTGTAACCTGGGCTTCAGCACTCACCTCTTTCGAGACTGATGTAACCTTTGTAACAATGAGTGGCACCCTTAGGGCACGTGACATTTTCAGAGTCTGTGCAGAATCTACCAAAGTCCACACAGGCAGGACACTGAAGGTCTCCTGGGGCAGTGTCACCTGGGTAGCAAAGGCAAGGTTGGGGTGCACAGCTCTGCTCTCAGTTATAGCCACCCTCCTTGAGCCCAGAGTCTTCGCATCCTTGGGGCTCCATCTCTCCATGTCCCATTATTCTCTCATCTCCCTGGCTCCCTTACCTGAATGATGGATAGAGTTCAGCAGGAGACTGGTACTGAGGGCACTGTTGCACCCATTGGAGGAGCAGAAATTGGCATAGGAGGCGGCAACCATTCCAGGGGGACTCGAGTAGATGGAGAGAGTCTTGGAATTCTGTGTCTCAGTCCTGCCACAACCTTTACTCCCCACAGTGAGTGAGCTGGGTCCTGTGGGGGTAGAGTGACAGCTGGGTGTGGGGAGGAGAGGGAGACTGGAGCCAGGGATTCCTGGATTTTTAGCTGGCAGAGGGTGAACGTAGGTTCCCTGAGTACAAGAGCATGGGGTGGTTGCAGGCAGGGCCAAGACTGGAGCCTTAGCCTGGGTCCTCCCCCAGCTTTGTCCCCTCTCAGTTCTTGCTCAGATATCACATCAGTAGAGTCTTCCTAATTTCCCTTTTTTAAAATTGCAATCTTCACCTCAATCTCTCTATCTCCTTTCTCTGGTGGATTTTCTTTTTCCTCACTGGTATGTAAAACTTCAGAAAAGCAGACCCAATGAGATCTATATAGCCTGGCCCTCAACAGGTGCTCAATAAGGCTCAAAGTTACAGAAGTTACTGTGCTCCAGCTCTGTTCTCAGACCTGCATGGACCATCAAATATATCCTCATGATGTCCCAGCACAGTAGGTAGCATTTAGCATCTATTATCAGAAGAGGACAGCAAGCGCAGAAAGAGGAAGAGTGAGGTATAGAATTCCAGCATTGGAAGTAGGTAGGAAGTTCAGGGAACAGAATCCAGGACAGGAGACTCAGGATGTGATGCCATGGTCCCACCCTTATACACAGCTCACACACCTACATCTATGAGCAGAAGAGTCTCCTGGCACACCTCCTCCAAAAAACATGTCACATTCTTAAATGTATTCCATTCTTCCGGTTCCTTACTCAAGTTTGGTTTAGCCCAAAACGTGAATCCCTGTTGACAGGTCCGAAAAGCTGGAAAGAAATCACCAGCGTCTGTGTCAGCCCAGGAACAAGCCATGTCTCCCCCTCCAGATCCTGTGTTCGGGAAGGTGATCATGTTCTTCAGTCACACTCAGGTAACCTGGACAGTCAGTTCATCTCAGGTGGAGAAGGGACCTTTGACATGTATGCCTGCCCCCATTCCTTACACCACCACTTCTGCTCCAGCATCTGCAGGAACCTTGCTCAACACCCTTGAAGGCTGCTCCTCCCCTGGGGTGTGGCAGAGAAAGACGGATCTTTCTTAACCTGAGCCATCTCTGCTTCCGTCACTGAGGCTCAAGGTCCTCATCTGGATAACAAAGAGTGTAGACTGACACCCTATATTCTTTTAACTAAGAAATCCTATGTCCCAAACGAAGTTCCTCCAATGCCTAGTGTGTGTACTGAGCATTTACTATGTGCCCCACTGTGGTGACTGCTTTCCATGGAGTAGCCCATTTAAGGTTCCCAAGGCTCTCTCTCATCCGGGTTACCTCATTTTCTCACAGTGACCACCAAAGTAGGTGGTGTTATTTACCACTCCCCATTTTCAAGATGGAAAACAGAGGCAGAGGAGTGGTGAAGTAGATTTCCCCATGTCTCACCACTAATAGTTAGCCAAGCTGGGCTCCTGGGGGTGAGTGATGGGGAAGATAGTGTTTGATACCGTGCTCAGCTACCTAGGCCTCTGAGGTCCTCAGGAGTCCAGTCTGAAATACAGAACCCTAGACCTTCACTTATGGCCATCCCATCACCAGCAAGGATATGTCACGTGATGCATGAATTCCATGGCTGATGACACAGATTCCACCAACATGTTTAACTTTCACAACAGCCTCATGAAGGAGGACTGCTTGTTGCCTCTCTTCACAGACCACAACATCATGACTCCTGCTGCCCTGCTCCCAGCCTGGCCTCGGTTCTCCCCTCTCCCACCCTCCACATGCTAGTCAGCAGCAGCTCCTGACTTGCAGTTGCTCAAGTTGAGAACATTGCTGTCATTCTTAACAATCTCTATGACTTACACCCCCTGTTGCACCCATGAGGATATCCTGTTGGCTGAAGCTGCCAGATACCTCAGGAACCTGGCCACTTCTCATGACCTATATGCTGCTTCCACCAGCATTCAGGACCCAGTGGGCTCTGACCTGCTGAGTCTCTCTGCGGATCCCCTCTCCCACATCCAATTCCCACTTACTCTATTTCTAACTCAGCAGCCAGAGGAATCCCCATAAAATGTAAGTTGATTCATGTGACTCCTCTACTCAGAATATTCCAATAGGGCCCTGCCCCACTCAGAATAAAATTTTATGTCCTAAAAATGGCCCTAAAGGCCCTGCCTCTCCATCTGCATGTCCTGCTCCAATCTCTTTTGAACAGTCATCTGGGGCTACACTGACCTCCAAGCTTTCTTGCACACCCAGCAGGCCCCCACCCACCCCAGGTGTGTGCCCTTCTGATCCCCACTATCTGTAATCACCCACACCTCCTTGAGTTTTCTGAAAGACACTCATAGAGGTGGTGATCCTCCAAAGCTGGTTCAGTGGCACAACCCAGAGAGAAACTCACATCTCTCTGATTGAGACCTAGGCTCTTAGCGGCTGTGCTCCTCCCGATTGTGCCAATGCACCGCCCTCACTGGCACCGCAGCCCAATTCCTTAAGGGGCCAGTCAAGGCCTTTCACGTTCCAAGTCTTTGTTCTCCTTCAGTGGGCTCCTACCATGGCCTTTTTTGTGCAACCCATGCTCTTGCACCCAGGCTTCCCCAGCCCCAGGTCTTCCCAGTAGCTGTCTGTCTCCCTGGAATGGCCTTCTCGTCCCATGACATCTTGTTGTACCTCAGCTTCTGATGTCTGTTTGAGCTTACTGTCGCTCAATAAATGTCTGTTAAACTGCCTCACTGACCTTTTGAACCAGGGAAGGCAAACACATATCCCTAGATCTGACTCCTATACTGAAAGCTAACAGCATAAGTTTACATATGGGGGATATTCATTTGTGGCATAGTAGCTGTTTTATGTGGCATATGTGTGGTTCTTGTATCATCTGTGTATGGTACATGGGGATGTGTATGGGAGTATGAAATGTGTGACAGGTATATGTTATGTTTGCATAGTATATGTAGTGTGTGTGGCATGCGATGTGTGGTGTGTATATATATATTATGTATGTTGTATGTGGTTTTGCACAGGTGTGGCATGGTATCAGTTCTGTGTGTCTGTTTGGTTCGTGTGGTGGATTTGGCAGGTATTGTGTTGTGTGGTCTGTGTATTGTATGTGGTGTGTGGTATATGAGGTTTGTGGTATGTGTTACATATAAAGAGGCAATGTGTGCTGGTGTGATGTGCCTGCAATGCAATGAGTCTGAATATGTCTGTTGTGTGTATTGTGTGGTATGGTATATTACATGGATTACATTGGGTTTGTTTCAGGAATGCTTTCTAGATTATAAATGTTACCTAGTTCCAGAGAAAAGGGCCACATAATTAAACAGAATAATTTTTAAAAAGAGAAGCAGACTGTTCCTCCATGGTCAATACCTGTCTGTGGCTGCCTTGCCCACAGGAAAAAAAGGTTAAACTTTCACTCTGGCTTTGTCGCTTCTTGATCAGCACCAGGCCCCCCAGCCTCCCTCTTTACTCCCACACCAATATCCATTCCCAAGACATGCTAGGTCAGGTCCAGTCTCCCTGGCCTTGCACCACTGATCTTTCTGCTTGGAATAGCTATTCTGAGGTCACCCACACACATCTTGTCTACCTGAAAAACCAGTGACCACCCCCCTAGTCCTACGTGCACCCATGCTCTTTACAAGATCTTCTCAAGCAGAGCTAGGAAGCCATTTCTGAAAACAGGAAGATTATTCCCATCACCAGGCCTTTGCACATGCTGTTTCCTCTGCTTGTTCATGTCCTCTTCCTACTCTACTAATAAACTGAAGCTAATCTTTAAGACATGTCTCACACATCACCTCCTCTGTAAAGCCCTCCTTGAAACCCACTTCAGGACATTACTGTTTTCCTGCTCACAGCTCCTCCAGGCTCCTTCACCACAGCCATGTGACCATCTGCATCTGTGCTGTCTCATCTCCTAGTCCTGAAGTCCCTTTAGGGTAAGGACAGGGTCTGAGTCCTCTGCAGTCCCCACAGGAGACCTTGGAATCCTGCACAAACTGACTTTTCATCCTGTGCTAGCCCTTGTGCTGCCTCAGGCTGGAAACCTTGGTGTTGGTGACACCCAGGCCCTGTCCTCAAGGGTCCCAGACTAGCCAGAGGGATCCAAGCACAGACGACTGTTTGCCGAATCCACTCAATGTTCTCCTTGAAGCTTTAAAGGCTGGGTGCCATGGGCAGATGGGGAAACTGAGGTTCAAACAAGGAAGGTCCTCTTCCTACTCTGCTAAGCCCCCACTCCCCTCCCTGACTCCTGTGCTTCTCACTGAGACACTCCAGGCCACTGTCAGTCTGCCCAGGGCATAGTCAGGCTGCCTTTGTGTGGGTGAGTGGGGACACTTTCAATGTCCCTACTTAGCCCCTGCTTTCCCTACCACAGCTGAAACATCCTTGGTTTTCTCTGGCCTTCCTTCCTGTACAGCATGGCTACTGGAGTACCCTAGTACCATAGGTGAGGGATAGATGAAGGTTGGGGGGAGGGTAGAGTAGTTGAAAAGAGATCAATGACCCAGGGCTACCAAGGTCAAGAGTGTGGGGCAAGCCCTGGCTAGTGTGGCTCAGTGGATTGAGTGCTGGTCTATGAACCAAGGGATCGCCAGTTTGATTTACGGTCAGGGCACATGCCTGAATTCTGGGCCAGGTCCCACTGGAGGATGCACAAGAGGCAACCACAAATTTATTTTTCTCTCCTTCTCTTTCTCCCCTCACCTCTCTCTAAAAATAAATAAAATCTTTTAAAAAAGAGTGTAGGGACCTAGAACTGAAGGCAATGAGTCACTCCCAGCATGAGAACTAGGCACTCTGCACTCACTTCTACATCCAATGGATAAAGCAGAATGCAAAGCACCCAGCCCTGTGTGCCACTTGACCTTTCTCCCTGCTCCCCACTCCCTCCCACATGGACAGTCTGTCCTCATTTGGTTTGTCAGTCTCAATGTCACCTGAAACACCCACCAGTGAGTCCCTGTCCTATATCTGTCCATGGACCACATGCCCTGTCTCTCCATTTCATCTGGACACCTATTACCAGCATTTTCATCCCAAAGCATGTACCAAGACAATTCTTCACTTTGCCTATGCCTGAGTGAGTAATAAAATTCTTATTTTATTTAGTACCCAAAATGCTTTTGGGTACTAGTGTTGGTAGGATATGCTGGAAGTCCAAATTTCAAGCGTCATCATAACTCAAGGCTGTGGGGCAGGGCACAATCACACTTTCTGGGTATGGGACTCACCATCAGCATTACAGTTTTCACTCACAGACAAGGGCCCAATTTCCCGAGTCTCATTAAGTAGGTTGCAGGCTGCTTAGGACATGCATCCCTGGACTCTCAGTTTGCTGTTGATGCCCCCTGTGGGAAGGGCCCAGGAAGAGTGAGAGAGGGTGAGATGCCACCACTGGGACCATCCAACCCTGAGAAACCAAGCCTACCCTTCTCCAAGTCCTGGATCTTAGCTAACCTCTCTGACTTCAGTGCCTACAGGGACCTCCATGTCGCAGCTCACCTCCCCTGAGCTCGAGGATCCCGTTGTAGCAGTGTGAGTGCCCAATGGGGTAGGTCACCTCTGTCACAGACTCACAGCCTTCTGTAGACAAGCAGACTGGGCACTGCATGGACCCTGGGACTAGGAGGTGAGAGGGAGGAAGGGAACACTTAGCTGCCTCCATATTTGGATCTGGTGCCTTCTACCAACCCCCTTTTCTGGCATCCATAATCAACCTCCTCAGTCTCCTCAGACTTTTCCAGTTCAGGTTTCTCTCATATAGGCCTGGGGTGCAGGAAGTTGGGGTCATGTGGTTGGGGAGAAAGTAAGGTAGGGGATAAAGAGATCTGGGAGAAGGACTGGGGACTGATCCCAGAGGGGTGCCCCGGGAGGAATAAAGAGAGAGTTCCCCCATAACTTCACTACACAGACCAAGCTGACATGATGCCCCAAAGGGGAAAGTAAGCAGAGCATCACCCCAAACCCAGTTTAGGATACAGACAAGGAGAGTGAAGAGTTACAGGCTAAGTTCACTTCAGAAGAGGAAGTACCAAAACCCTAAATGAAACATGGGTGAATCAAGCACAACAGTGTAGAAAAGGGAGCACGGCCCTGGTCCAGGCCATTGCCAGAATCTGAGGTGCAGTCCAGTGTGCTGCCCCAGGACTGTGAGAGGAAGCTGTGCCAGGGAAGGGAGTCCTGGGGAGTGTGAACAGGCTGGGTGGCCAGGAGGCGTCTAAGCAAACATGCTCTCTGTGCTCTCCTCCTCCCCACACCCCCTCTTCTCTCCTCCTCCTCCCCTCCCTCCTTGTCTCACCTGCAGGGAGAGACAAGTTCCAGAAAGGGAGGGTGGTGGAGAGGTCATTGCAGAGGTCCTTGTGGCGACACACATGGGTATAGGAGACAATGGAGAGACCCGGACCTGCCCGGTGCTGTGTGACACGAGCCTCTTGATCCTCCTCCTGGGTACAGCCCTTGGTGAGTACTAGGAGCACTTGGGGTCCTGGATGGCAAAGGGTTCAGGCTGAGTGAGGATCAGGACTCTGGGTTCCTAGAGGGAGGATCTGTGGATTGGTTAAGAGGCTGGAGAGGAGATGCCTGAGTTCCTGAGGGCCTACTGCTTTGGAGGAGGGCACAGTTCTTGGTATGAGGGAGGGAGTCTCCTGAGTCTCCACACAGAACACAGGCAGGACTGGTCAGGAGGAGAGGGAGATCCCTGCATGCATCTGGGTGCTGGTCATGCCTGAAGTGTATACAGTCTGTCTCACCATTCTCAAGTAACATCAGTGTGTCTTGGCAACCCCAGCCCTCACTGCAGATCTTCCTGCCAAAGGTCTGCTGAAAGGACTCTTCTGTTACATTCCTCACAGTTACTGCTGTTCCAGGCTGACAGATCAAGGCCTGTGCTCCTGGGAGGAGAACAGAAAATCCATCTTAGCCCATCCTCCCAGGAAATCCCCTCCCAAGTTGGGGTCTTCACTCACGGGGCAGCACAAGTGTGAGGCCTAGGAGGGCTGGAAGCAGAGCAGGGCTCATGGTCAAGGCTACTACAACTCTCTCACTCCTCCTCTTTCTCCCAGAAAACTGAGCCCTTTTATACCTCTCCTCACCCAAGGTAGCCAGGAAAGGGTGGGGAGTGGAGGACCTTGCCAAAAGAGGCCTAAGCCCACTTTCCTAATCTCACAAGCTTAAAGGCTGAGAAACCTGAGTCCTTCCTCTTCCTTTTGTCCAAGGAGTACAGCCTTCCAGCCCCCTTCTCTCTCAGACCCCAGAAGTCCAAGGCTCCTCCTCACTCCCATCCAAGAGTCCAGACCCCATATACTCCACAGTTAAAAACTGAGGCATCCTGACACCCAGCCTCCGTTGTTCAAGATTGCCAGCCCTATTTCCAACTGAGCCCAGCTGTGCAGGTCCCCACCCCCACCTTGTTACAGGATAGTTTGTGAAGACAGTTTCCTCATTTGTCCAGGCAACCAGGCCACCTTCTGGCCCCAGTTGGGGAAATGGCCCAACTGCTTGTGAGGACATTAGTGGTGGGTCTTGGCTGGTCCCTATGGCTTTTCTACCCTAACCTCTGCCTCTCACAGATATGTACCTCTCTTTTCTTTCTCATTCCTTCCAGTATGGCTTTCCTTTTTATTCCCTTTTCCATGATCTTCTTCATGCTTTTATTCTCCTCCTTCTGGTTCTCTCATTCGCTTTCTGTTTGTTTTCTCCCTACCAGCACAACACAGGCTGAGAGCTCTTGGTTCCTGTAGCCCAGGAGGGAGCTGAGGTATCACAGGGAGAGTAATGGCAGTGGAAGAACTAGGATATTCCTTGACAAAGCAAAGTTTCTCTACTAGAAACAGATGGGAACAGTGATGTGCTAAAAACACAGCTTTTCAGAAAAACAGCATCAACAAACCCTGCCTCATAATGTTGGCCTGTTAATGAGGTGCGGATTCTCTCACCACATCTGATTTTGAAGCCACCAACAGATTAACAAGATGACCTTGCCAAATCCTAAATAATTAACAATAGGTTTCACTGGCGTGTACCAATCACTTCTAGTCCACTGGGTAGGAGGGAGGCTGGAAAGGATACAGAAAATCTGTCAGTGAGTGCAGAGGTTAAAAAAGGAGAAAAGAATGGGTGAGAACAACAGTAGGGGAGAAATAAGTGTGAAATTCACAATGATATGTGTATTTTTGACATTTTCATATGTTCTGTTTTTATTTTGTTTGCAACTTACAGATGTGCCACACAGACACCAGTGTTAGTCTTATCTCCCACTGAGTCTGCACCACTAACTGGCATATCATGGGTGCTTAGTAGATATTTACTGATTGAGTGAGAGAATGAATGAATGGATGAATGAAGAAGAGGGAAAGATAGCACTACACCGGTGTAGGTTGTGCACTTTTGAAACACCTTCCCCTTCCCAATGATTCATGTTGTGGCTGTGTGAATGGAGCCCTCTGAAGTTGTGCATGGCCTGAAGCAGAGTCCCTGGAAGAAGAGGAGAAAGAAGGTGGGTAAAGGGACACATAGGGTAACAGGTCATCCATTAATTTCTTGTTTTAGTGAACAAATATTTACTGAGGCTGAACTTTGTGCCAGGCACTGTCCCAATTGCTGGGGTTATAAGAAGACCAGCAAGTATGAGGGCCATGTGTTTGTTGAGGTGGTAGCTAACTGAGAGACACAGACACTAAACAAATGCATGAACACAGAAAAATCTTATCTATTGCTTGGTGCTGGGCAGGTGATGTAAAAGTAAGTAATGGAAATGGGAGCAGGGTGGGCCATCCCGAGGATGTGACCTTGTGCTGAGGGCAGAGTAAAGGGAAAGAGCCTGCCATGGAAAGACAGGTGGGAAGAATATTCAAGGTAGAGGGGAGAACCTTTGCAAAGGCCTGAGGTGGAATCAAGCTTGGATTTTTTGAGGGTTAGAAAGAAAGCAAGTCTGGACTTGTCATGGCTACAGAGGGAGTGATGGAAGACAGGAGTGGAAAGGCTGGCAGGGGCTCAGCCAAGTAGACTCAGAAGATTAAAGCAACCTTTCTGGGATCCTGCATCTTTCAAAAGCCGAATGCAAAGGCTGGGTGTGGGGCTTCTTGGCAAAAAGTCTGACAACCCTTGGTGTAAAATTCTATTGCCTTCCTGGCATGCTCCTGTTGCTCCCTAACTGTGGAACCCTTCTCTGAACTTTTTCCTTCCCCTCTGTCACATAGGTGTAATGACTATCTGCAAGTCATGGATGTCTCTATAACCCAAAGTGGATTCTCAACACATGACTAAAAATAGGTAATATTGTAAGTCCTTAATCTGTCCAAGCCCTACTCCAAGCCCTTTGTATATTTCAACTTATTGATTCACACCCACAACTATGAGGGGGATCCTATTAATTGCCCAGTTATATAGGTAAATAAACGAAACCCCAGAAAAGTAAAATAACTTGCTCAAGGTCATACAGTGTGGCAGACATACCTACCCACCAAAGATCTTTGCTCCCTTTGGGATGTAGTGCTCTTATGAAGTGATGACTGGCCAGCTAGAAAACTATACTTCCCAGCCACCTTTGTCTGTAGGTGACCATGTGACTATTTTCTACCAATGGAACATGAGCAGAAATGACTGGTATCAATTCCAAGCCTGAGTGATTAAGAAGCAGGAGTGATTTCTTCTCCCATCTATGTGGCTGTCAAGGGTGGTGTGCAGATAAACCAGGAAGAAATACTGGGGAATGAGTCTGACCACACAACCCAGGGTTCCAGCATGGGGAAATGAAGCCTCAAAACCTCTGAATGTGAAAATCTCTAGGGGTTGCGGTGGTGGGAGAAACTCCCAGCCTCACAGGAGAGTTTGTTGGAGAGACCCACAGGGTCCTAGAATGTACACAAAATCATCCACCTGGGAATCAGCACCAGAAAGGGCCCAGTTTGCTTGTGGGTAGCAGGGGAAGTGACTGAAAGCCAGCCCAGAGCCAACTATTTTTCCCTCTCTAACCCCTCCTCTACATACAGTGCCACAATGCAGTGATGTGCATTACCCCCGCCCTGACAAATACCTAAGGCTCCACCACTTACTACATAACAGGCATGCCAAAACAAAAATATGACCCAAATGAAAAAATAGATCAAAGCTCCTAAAATAGAAATAAGCAATGAAGAGATAACCAACCTACCACAATTCAAAACACTGGTAATCAAGTTGCTCACAGAAACGGTTAAGTAGAGTCTCAAAATAGTGGAAGAAGTGAAGACTATGGAAAATTAAACAAAGGGAAATATACAGGGAACCAACAGTGATGGAAAGGAACCGGGACTCAAATCAACGATTTGGAGCAGAAGTTAGAAATAAACATTCAGCTGGAACACGATGAAGAAACAAGAATTCAAAAAAATGAGGAGAGCCTTAGAAACCTCCAGGACAACTTTAAACATTACAGCATCTGGATTATAGGGGTGCAGAAGGAGAAGAGGAAGAGCAAAAAATTAAAAACTTATTTGAAAAAATAATGAAAGTGGGCCTCCCCAATCTGACAAAGGAAATAGATTTCCAGGAAGTCCAGGAAACCCAGAGAGTCCCAAAGAAGTCAGACTCATAGAAGCACATGCCAAAGCACATCATAATTACCTTACCCAAGATTAAAGATAAGCAGAGAATCTTAAAAGCAAAAAGAAAGAAAGGAGATAGTTACCTACACAGGAATTCCCATAAGAAATCAGCTGATTTCTGAAAGAAAACCTTGCAGGCAAGAAAAGGCTGTAGAGAAGTATTTGAAGTTATGAAAGGCGAGGACCTTCATCCAAGATTACTCTATCCAGCAAAAGCTATCATTTAGAATGGAAGGGAAGATAAAGTGCTTCCCAGATAAGGTCAAGTTAAAGTAGTTATCATCACCAAGCCCTAATTATGTGAAATGTTAAAGGGACTTATCTAGGAAAAAAATTATCAAAACTATGAACAGTAAAATGACAACAAACCCACAACTATCAACAAGTGAACCTAAACAAAAACAAAAATAAGAAAAAACTAAGCAAAACAATAGAATAGGAACAGAATCACAGAAATGGAGATCACATAGAGGGGTATCGGCAAGGAGGGGAAGAGGGAGAAGGGGTGAGAAGGTACAGGGAATAAACAGCATAAATACTAGGTACAAAATGGACAGGGGGAGATTAAGAATAGTATGGGAAATGGAGAAGCCAAAGAACTTATGTGCATGACCCATGGACATGAACTAAGGTGAGGGAATGCTGATTGGAGGGGGTGTGAGGCAGAGGGGAATAAAGGAGAGAAAAAATGGGAGAACTATAATAGCATAATAAATAAAATATATTAAAAATGAAAAAAGAAATAAGAAACTGATGCTAAGCAGAGAGGAGGTAGGAGGGGAGTATCAGAGAAAGAAGGGAAAGGGTTGTCATGGAACATGTATGAAGGGCCCATGGACAAAGCCAAAGAGGGGTAGGACTGATGGTGGGAGGTGGGTGTGTAGGGGGTGGGGAAGATTGGCGGTGTGAAAATGGAGACAACTGTACTTGAACAACAATAAAAAAGTGAAAATAAAAGTTAAAAAAAAAAAGAAGAAATAAATCTCTGCTCTGGTTCTATTCCTACCCCACTCCTTGTGACCTCTGGGGTATTTGGCTAAAATCCTTGGAGTCTTGATCACAGAGGAATTGTGGGTAAGCAAAGGTGGGCTAGAACGGGGCCATGGAGAGATGGGATCTGCTCAGAGTCAGGATGAGAAATTACAAAGCCTGGGAAGTATGGGATGGGGGGGAAGGTGGCATTACATGGATTCCAGGGACCTAGAAGTACCATGAAGGAGGACTTTTTTTAAATCTCAGGATTGAGGTGAATATGAGTGAAGGGCTGACCTACATGTTGAGGGAGAAGCCACTGGATGGTGTGGTGAAGTGGGGCTGCCATCCTCCCAGACTAGGATGGGTCTGAGGATGAGACACAATGTTGGAGGAAAGGATAAAGTTCTTGAAGACTCAGGTTAAGAGTCTTGAAGACTCTTGTCCCTGATATCAGGAGAA